GGCAACCTTCCGATTACAAGGCGAACTCCCAACTCTTGAGCCACGATCGCCCCACATTGCTATTGCAAATGTGAAAAAGAGCCCTGTTGAGACTGTTGTCAGCATATACAATGTGTTTTCCTGTGTGTGTTGCATATGTATTACTTGCACTTGAAATACATCTATCACATATTTCTAGCCTCCACACAAACTGCAGCTCTTCTTTTTATTGGTACAGGTCCTAGAGAACAGAATTTACATCAGATGCATAGATGACAATAGCTTGAACCGGACCATTTCCTGTGTGGCCTTCTCCCTAACTATCCCTCCACCCTCCTATCTGTCTTCTCTCTGCACTACCCTATCCAATAAGGACTCATGTTCTGAGATCTTGTCATCTACCTCTTTTAAAATCACTGAGCAGAGAATCTTTTCGCCATCTAGATCTATAATCTGTTATAGCATTTTATCTTATATCTTATGTCGGCACTTTGGTTTTAAATGTGCTATATAAATAAAGTTGTATTGTATTGTATTGTATAAGCAGCCGCACTGGATAGGCTATTGATGTTTGTTCTATCGCTGGTTTGCAGATAATATAGAACAGTTACTAAAAGACAAATGTGGGTCAAATGTGCAGTAATGTGGAAGCAGGCAGGCGTAGGTGCTTTAAATGTAACAGTGCTGGGACCTTCTGCAGGAAAACAAGGGGCAGAAAGACAATACATACACACACACTAACAGCAGGCCATGTAAGAGGAGGACAGATTGGGGACACGGCACCTCCACACTTTTATGACCTGTGTGTCCAGGGGACACGAACACCACATCTGTGAAATGAAAGTGTGGGAGTGGGTTATAGTGTGAAGCCACTGAAAATGTGTTATTTTATATGTCCTTCACACAAAATCGGTGAAAGCTGCGGAGTCTGTGGTTAAAATCATGATAAATCGCATCGTTTTACTTTTGATAAACATGAGAAACAGCACACAGGGGTTCATTTAACACGTCTCATCTGTTTACTCTGTGAAACTGACAGCAAAAAGGTTTCACTGCAGGAATTTGTTTCAAAAAATTCAAAAAGAACAGAGCTATCATTTATGTCCTTGTCTAATCCTCACTGGCTCACTCGCAAAAAACCACACATGTATATAACACATTTCTAATTACATGTTTTATGCCCTTTATGGTGGCATAAGATAATAGTTTTTGTGTTCTTTCACACAGTCAGAGCAAGGTGCTGACTGCTGTTGGGTCACATTGCTGTAAAGGTGTAAGCAGTAAAACAAACTTCCCTATTATTAAAATGTATAAACAACCTTTCTTTACAATCCTGTGAGATGCACTGAAAAGGTTTAATGTCTAAAGGTGAGCCGTGCTATTTGTCAGCTGTTGACTTTTATCAGAATTGTTTTGACTGGATGTAGTCCCATAAGTAATGCATGAAAACAGCATCGTGTTCTGGATGTGAAATGCAGCAGCGGGTAAGGTAGTTGTTGAGTCTACATTCTTTGAATAACTATGAGGCAAGAAACATAAATCAGATCCTAAAATGAGAACGGGGTATTCATGGAACAGCCTCCAGCTCCGAGGAAGAATAAGCACACCTGAGCTTCTTTCACTGAAAAAAAGAGTATAAACACTGCAGAGCTA